GCGTAGCCTTACCTCCTCAAGGGCCAAGACGACAGGCCTGAGCCACTGTGGCTCCCGTATTTCTTGTTTTATTTAAGCTTTCCTTCATCTTTGTGATCATGTTTGAATTTTGGCATACAGATGCTTTTGGTTTTGTGTTTGAATAAAAAGAAAGAAGACTAGCAGAATAATGACTAATTTGTATTCTTTTTCTGAGAGTTTAACACTAACTTTGGTGGTGCACTTTAGGAAAAAAAAATCAAAGAAATAATTATAATGGTTGGTGTTTGTGACATACACAGCAACAGGGAATTTTGAAATTAGATGATTCAATGTTTGCATAGTGCTATGGGCATTATAGATCAAAGATTCTGGGCTTAACCCAATGTTAAACCCATTTAATTTATACCCAGATTATAAATTTAAATATTACAGAAGTGGATGGTGCCTCATATACTTTATGCTTTGCTGGTTTCTTTTTGGCTGGAGACAGCTTTTTGTCTGATAGATAATAACAATGCTTTATGTTTATAGGCAGTGTAACATCTTTCATTCAAGGGGTTCAAAGAACTCAGCAATTATGACTCATTGTTCCTTAAAATACCTTTATAAAACTGGAGGTGACAAGCATTGAGGTAAACTTGTTACAGGTAAGGAAACTAGAGTCGTAGAACATTAAAGCACTAACAGATATTTTGGGAGTCAGAGATAGAATTCAGAATAAGTCTCCCTTTTTTTGATTAGAATGAAACCAGTAACACCTATTTTCTCCTCATGAAAGTATTGATTCAAGGACTTCAGCTGCATTTGTGCTAAAGATAATACTTAACTCTGAAGGATTCCCACTTACCTACCTCCCTAAGTTCATCTCAACCTGCCCATCCCCACTCTAACTGTTTCCTTTGCAGATGCTGTTCCCTTTGCCTGGAATGCTTGACCTTCCCAAGTGGGTGTTTCCCAGTCATCCTTACTATTTCAGATCCAGTCTCCTTTTCTAAGGGACACCTCTGACTACATTTGATTTTATTTGCATTATAGCTCTCTCTTCCTTTCTTCACCATCGTGGTGTGTGTCTGACTCCACTTCTCGCCATGTCTTCTCACAGGACTGTCCAGATTAAGCGATTCCTGGCAAAGAGACAAAAGCAAAATTGTCCTGTTCCCCAGTGGATATGGATTCAAACTGAAAATAAAATCAGGTACAACTCCAAAAGGAGACATTGGAGAAGAACTAAGCTGGGTCTATAAGGAATTGCACATGAGATGGCACACATATTTATGCTGTCTCAAGCTCATGACCATGTTACCATGTCAAGCTGCAAATGTCACTACTATCTGGATAGTTGGACATGTTCCATTGGGAATATATTTTTTCTCTCTGAATCTATTATGAACATGCTGGTTGGCTGGGTTCAGTAATAAATATGTGAGACCTTTCATTTCAAAAAATAAAAATAATAAGTTGCATTAAATTTCTCAAAGCACCGGTCACCTCCCCTTTAGAGCACTTTCTACAGTTGCAGTTTCAAACTTGAATGTGTTATTTGTTTGATTCATGCCTATCCCACTCACCCAACTGTAGGCTCTGTGAGGGCAGGGAACATGTCGGTTTTTCCTTACTGTTATAGCTCCAGCATCTCATTTAGTGTTTGGTGCTAAATATAGGCTCAAACATATTTGTTGGCTGAATGCATCTAGATTTTAGAAAAAGTGTGCTTTTTAAAAAAACAAAATGAGAGAGAGACAGGGACTTGCTTTGTTGCCCAAGTTGGTCTTGAACTGCTGGCCTCAAGTTATCCTCCTCCCGCCTTGGCCTCCCACAGTGTTGGGATTACAAAGCATGAGCCATATGCCCAGCCAAAAGTGTTCTTTCAAAATTTGCACCAAATCCTGCAGCTTCAACTCAGAATTATAATTAGGGAGAAAATGATTGGCATTCTAAATTATTATTCTAAAATCTGTTTGAACAGAACATTTATAGAATGCCTTAACAACTTAAAATATAGCCATTAAACTTGAGTAAGAGGCAAATTAGGATGGTAGGGAAAGAGGGAGAGCTCAGAAAAACTGACTGAGGGGAATTAAAATCCACAATTAATGCAAAACTTAACTTTGGTTATTGGAAATCTGAGATTAGACAGAAAAGCCAAGGGATTATTTCTTTAGCAGGAATCCCCACTTGAATCCAAGAGGCAGCCTCCTCTCCATGCATCTTTTTGGCTCAAGGTGATGAGGGACTTATTGAAGATTTTTCTAGGGCACCTGAAGAGAGAAGACTGAATGCATTAGACCTATTCCGTGGCCTCATTTAGGGGCTCACATCTGAGACTCCTGGAGAAGTGCTGCCAGAAAAAATCCTTGTTTTACTGCCTAGGTGTTCAAATGTGACAGAACGGGCAAGAATCCCTCTTCTTCTGAAGTCAGGCTTTTTGATTTAGCAGCAAGAAAAATCTAAGATTGGCGTTTTTTTTCTTTCCTTTTAAACAGGGGTCTGTCATAATCCTATCTGTGTTTTGGAAAGAAAACTCTTGAGGCAGTGCCAAGGATGGATCTGAAGAGGGCAGAAAAAAACAAAGGGAAATTATTGAGGAAATTGTTTTCATAGTCACAGTAAAACTGATGGGGTCTGAAGTCTAGTTGTTACAGCAATCTGAGAGGCTTAGGAGATATTTTGGAGGGATGACTAGCAAAAATTCGAGCCCAGCTGGATATGGGCAGTGAGGAACAAGAAACAAAACTGTTTCAGTTTTCTAGGTTTGGCAATCAATGTAAAAAGGTGCTACTAATTAAACAGGGAATAGTGGACAAGCAGGTTTAGTGGCGTACAAATGTTAGGTTTTCAGTGCCTGAGGGACATCCAAATGAAGATGCCAGAAAGAGAGCCGACCTGGCTAGAGATCTAGATTTTGGAACCTAGATTATACTCCTTTGAGGAATTTGTTTGTTTTTTATATCGGATGTAAAACTAAATGTATCTTCTCATAGCAATGATGCTGTAAATGAATGTAGTTAATTTCCCAAGGCAGCCTCCAAACTCATTTAGCCTATAGTGTTCTTGATAGAGCATGGTGAAATATTTATAAGAATGTTTCTGGAGGGACTTGGATTCACCAGGCCAAGTCAGTACTCCAGTAAAGCATCTTTTCTTGCTCAGACACAGAATTAGGAGTCAGACCTTATTCTCCTTCTCAACCAAAGAGCATAGATGGCTTAAGGGCTAAGTGTGGATTCTTTGGTGTTGAACTAATATTGTTTGTAGTTTTAGGGAGACAGGGCTACATTTTCATTTCACAAAGTGAGAGGGAGAATTGGCAGCTGTTCCGGGAAAGGATAAGTGTCTAGCTCAGGTAGCGGCTGATAGCAGTGGCGTGGAAAGTAGGAGGGAAGGACCCTGATTAGGACTGAAAGAGTGAGTAGCAGGAGTAGTGATTCAGCAGGAATAGAATGCCTGGGAACCACAGATCGCAGGCAGCCTTGGTGACCTTATTAATGAGCTTGGGACGACATCAACCACACATTTTACTAATCAGTAATGAAGAAGAGAAGAAAGGGGAAGTGGAGTGGGTATCTGGGAGCAGTAAGAGTCAACCGGGAAAGGTGGTTCTTTGGATACTAGATGACTCCCTGTTAGGACAGCCATTTGTAGGTATGTTGATTTACTTTAGGATTCCTGGTAGCAAGAACATACTATCTCAGCTCACAACTCAAACGCTAAAGGACAAGGAAACTTGTACATAGCTGATAAAGGAGGAACTCTACTATTATGTAAATAGACATGCTGTCCAGGTGATCTTACCTATCCTTACTTTTATAGCTTAAAAAGTCAGTTAAGCCAAGCTCAAAGGTCTGTGCCTTTAGTCCTAGCTACTAGCAAGTCTGAGACAGAAGGATTGCTTGAGCCTAGGAGTTCAATTCAAGTTCATCCTGGGCAACACAGCAAGACCCCATCTCTTAAAAAAAACACACACACACACATCAGTTAAACAGGCCAGGCATCGTGGCTCACGCCTGTAATCCCAGCACTTTGGGAGGCCGAGGTGAGTGGATCATTAGGTCAGGAGTTTGAGACCAGCCTGGCCAATATGGTGAAACCCCGTCTCTACTAAAACTACAAAAATTAGCCGGGCGTGGTGGCACGCACCTGTAGTCCCGGCTACTGGGAAGGCTGAGGCAGAAGAATTGCTTGAACCTGGGAGACGGAGGTTGCAGTGAGCAAAGATCACACTGCTGCACTCCAGCCTGGGTGACAGAGGGAAACTCCGTCTCAAAAAATTTTAAAAAGCCGGTTAAATGTTTCTTATTCAAAAACACTTGACAGGTACAGTAAGATAGAATAAGTTGTAGTATCCAGTGTACGATAGGGAAATTAGTTAACAATAATTTATTGTCTATTTCAAAATAGCTAGAAGAGAAGAACTGCTATGTTCCCGACACAAAGAAAAGATACATATTTGAAGTGATGGATACCCCATTACCCTATTTTGATCAATTCACATAGTATACATGTATCAAAATATCACACGTACCCCCAAAATAGGTACAACTATTATATAAAGTTTTTTAAAGCACTGGAAAGGTTTATGAAGTCTCGTTAAAAAGCTTTGTTGTCACCATTAAGCATTATGGTTTTGCTTTTATGAAAACTTTATTGCATATAAAAATAAACTGTGGTGGATTTTGTCCTTTTTTGTTTTTTTCCATTTCCCTGGCAGTGCTATTGCTAAGCAGTGAAGAAATGGAAGGAATATAGTGGGTATCGCTCAGGGGAGACTAATTTCTGTTGGGTCAGTGAGTTGCCCAAACTTCAGATATGGCAGGAGATGCCGGGTGCGGGTGGCAGTTGACTCTTTGTAGAAACTTAAGAAAAATGAGAAAAGAACACTTAAACATATTTGGTATGTATTGATTCAAAAAATATTTAGGTAGTTGCAATTTATAGCATTTTCATTTTTATGTTATTCAGATGGAGATTAAATATTCTCTGGCTTGACCAAGTAGAAATGCATTCAGTACATATGTTGTGCTGTTAACATGATAGGAATTTTCCAGACTGGCTTGTGGATGTGTTAGGTCACATCTTTTTTGAGTTCTTTATTCTAGTATTATGTATTTCCTACTCGCTTGCCTAAGGAGAGAAAGGGACTTTGTGTGAATAATCTCAGCATCTCCCCTATGGGTCTCAACACATGGCTGCTGGTTTCCTGAAATTCTTTTTGTGTAGATGCTCTATCATGCGGGAAAATTGCTTAATGGACAGGAGAAAAATCCAATGGACAAACATTGGCAACTCAAACAGAAACTCGGAATGACAACTCAAAATGGATAATTAGGTTTGGTCTGTAGAACTGCAGAAATCCATCTGCCAAACAACATGCCTGCTGTTTCCAGAGTCCAGCTACTAAAACCCAAATAGTCTCTTAAGTCCAGCTACTAAAAGCCAAAAGAAGGACAGATCTCAAACGAAAGCAAAAAACAAGCCAAACCAGAGGGTAATCTTCAACAAAACGGAATCAGTGAAACATTTAGCCTCCATGATATCCCAGGTCAGCTCCTTTTTCATTAATTTTATTTTTCCCCCAAGGCTTCAAAAAGTTGCTGAAAATTTTAAAGAAAGTATGCTGGGCACAAAAGCCTAAAATGTTAGGAAGAGTACTGTGTTTTCTTTATAAGCCACCTCTAGTTTGGTGTAGAGTATAGTGAGTTTAAATACAGAGTAGGGTCTGATTTACCATTAAAGAAGGGATCAGTGAAATACAGGTAGATTTCCAAAGACGGATATAAAACTGGTCTCACTTAGCAGGCATTGTGAATTTAGTATTGATTGGTTTAAGCAGAGATGAACCAATTGATAGCCACAATGGATAATCTATAAGAGATGCAATAGCATAATCATTTAACTTGGGCTGAGAACTTTCCCCAGAAGCTGACCCTAAGGTACAGATTTGAGTGCAGAGTAGAAAGTGACCTCAAACGCAAGTAGAGGAATAGGGAAGTAACACAACCCATGGAAAAAAGCCAGTAGAGGGTATGTTGATAAGCAGGTTGACCCTGTGGATATTGGGTCAATCCCAAAGGGAGATCTTGAAAGATTATGTAAGTACGTCTTGGAGTTGTCCCATCTGAGGGGTGAGAAGCTGGGGTATTTACTCACTAACTTCCATCTGTCAATGGGTTAAAAGCTTTTCCTGGAGGCATTAACTCCCAGATTTTCTCCATCTGTCCCTTAGGGGTTTAGCACACTCCTGCAGCTAAAGAAAGTCCTCAGGCAGTCAGTCACTGGGGCTTGCCCATAGGAAATATGGTAACAGTAAATGCAGAATGGATATGGACCAGGCACTGCTACATGGCATCAGCCACATGGTTAAGTTTTTTTGGTGGCTATCTATCACTTGGAGAATTTTATTCAAGTTAATTTTTATCCTTAGGTAGCCACTGACTGAAAAAAAAAAATGGTAAAGTTAAGAGTCTCCTT